TGATCTAACGCTTACTTCCCTTTTGAGATGAAAGCAAAGTCCTATCATAGTACATATAACACAAACATATATTTTTTTACAATTTCTGTTTCCCTCATTTGCTGCTGATATTAGCAAAATCTCATGGCCAATAATCATCACTCACTAAACATATATCTATAAAACTAATGTTAATACAAAATTAGCCTGTTACTATATTCTTAATTGTAATGATATGAAGTTCAAAATTAAATGATATGCATAATCTGACTATTATTTATAAGTAAAAAAAAACCATGGGAAATGAACAAATACATTTAGACATCGTTTACAGATATTAGAAACACTGGGTTGTTGTACTGTTTTGGGCTATACGGCCATGTTCTAGAAGCATTCTCTCCTGACATTTTACCTGCATCTATAGCAAGCATCCTCAGAGGTTGTGACACACAACCTCTGAGGATGCTTGCCATAGATGCTCGGCTGGTACGGCTGTACCAGGAGCTCCAACTTCATTTCTTCCTATTGAGTGTTTGCATGCATTCCAAGGTTCCATGCATTTTGCAAAAGGTGACTTCCCTTGGTTTGCAGTGATAGGGCTAGCCACCTGTCTATCATTCTTAAGTTTTTGTTCCGCCCCTTTTTCCAGGGCTCTGGGAGGGAACGAACAATTTTTAGTTCAGTCTTATAGTGGAAAGCTCCACATCTTCCGTGGAAAAGATCCAAAAGAACTCCAGCTAGAGAATCTACAAAGCCTTGGCTGGTAGGTCTACTCGGGTAACCAGAAGCAATTGGAGCTGGGAGTAGAGCCCAAACCAGCAAGCATAGAAATTAGATTGTGTTTGTTTAATTGTTGAAGATCTAAGCAATAATAAAGGACTTTGTTAAACTTTTCAAGCATCTAAAGACTTTTGTATAGGAAAATCCTTAGGGCCTCTCAGCCAAGGCAACCCAGCTTCCCGCTGGGCACAAAGAGAATGTCCTGTTTAAAAGACAATTGCTGTAGGCCAAGCGTGTGACAGCACAGATGCAGCGAAACATCAGGAGAGAATGCTTCTAGAACATGGCCACATAGCGCAAAAAACCTACAACAACCCAATGATTTCGGCCATATAAGCCTTTGACAATGCATAACAAACATTGCAGTCATGTTTGAGTATTTCCCAAAATAACTAATAAGTTCTTCTATAGTCTCTGTAATAATAATGTTAATTCAGTACAGTTTGGTCCCATGTAAAATCCAAATTGTGGTAGAAATTCTTATAGAGAAAAGTAGTGATCAGGATATGATCAGGAACAGTGACCAGAAACGTGGTCAGGAATGACAAGAGTTCCCGTATACTTTTATCCTTGTTTCAGAAAAAGTTTCCCTTCTTTAGGTTGCTTGCTTCATGTATTTGGGATTATATCTTCAAAAGATTTATATGCTATATTTAAAGAGACAACACAATAGATATGCTATAACAGCACCCAGTAACAATAATTAACAAAAATCTTATTACAACAATTAACAAGAGAAAAATACTCATGACTATCATTTTGAGTTTTTTTTGTCCTGGTATGGAAGGATATTAGACTTTTCCCTTAAATTTCTGGATTGAAGTCCAAACCTTCTAGGGATTCAGTGCTCTTTCACAGGAAAAACAACAAGGAAAAAACAACATAAGAACCTTGCCTTTAGCCATATGTTCCACTCCAATATGTTTGCTTTTGGATGATTTTGGTATCCAAGCTGATTTGTCTGGTTAAGGCTTGAAGAAGACCTTTTTATTTAGTACTTCAGTTTGCAGTTGGAACCATTTTATCTTGGAGGCCAAAGGCAGTGAAATTTAATGAGTAGATATGCTGGGGTTTTCTCCACAACACATGCCAGCTGATGCCAAGGAGGCCGTGGAAGGCTTGGATTGCTGTTTAGATCCAGTGAAGGCTTTGATGTAGGTGTAAAAAAGAATCTGAGGCTCAGAGTTGCCAGAATGAAAACTGGAGAAGGTCCATATATCAGCAGATGTTACTTTTTCCTGGTTGCGTGATAAGCAACACCTGTTGAACTCTTCTGTGCAACCATTAAAGATAATTCACCGATTTTTTTTAATTTGGCTGGTTTTGGTTCAGTCTTGCTGGAATAGTTCCATTGGAAAAACTCACCTGAGACTGGCATTGCAACCTGTTCTCGATGGGCTTGTACTCCCTTTGAAAGACCACGACACAGTTATGGCACTATGGTTCCATAGTTCCATCCTATAGTTACAACAACAACAACAATTCTTTATTGATTAGTCAATTTTGACCATATCAAAACATGCAACCATCCTATACAATCCTGTGCTTTTTAGTTTGGTAAGGCAAAGGACAGGTCTTGCTTCTAGGTGCCCTTCCCATGAATTTTACAGGTTGTTTCTGTGACACTTGACATGGGATCATAGTGCCATACGTGTGTAGTGTGGATTTTAAAAAAGGCCTCTACAGGCTTAAAGGGGGCATGGGATTGGAAAAAAAAATAACATGATTGCTGGCTCACATCAGAGGTTTGCCATTTTGAAAAGAAAAGTAGTCAACCCCACTCACAATGGTATGTGGTGCTAATTTTTGTGGTTTTATTTATTGTATCAGAAGCAAACCAAGGGTACATTTGAAATGTATTTGAAAACACAAAGTTTTTTTTTAAAAAAACTTGGCATTATACTAAATGTCCTTTGACCAGTAGCTGGCCACTTGGTGTGCCTCTGGTGTTGCTATATGAAGGTTCTCCAGTATGCACGTGGCAGGGCTCAGACTGCGTTGTAATAGGTGGTCTGTGGTTTGCTCTTCTCCATTCTTGTGGTACAATAAAAGTGAAAACATAGACAGCACAATGTGACTCTACCCCAGGATGCCATCTTTGTTACCATGAGATCTGCAAGAAAATGGAGTATTGATTAGGATTTCAACTATATTATCTTGTTCATTGTTTACTATATGTCAGTCAGCATTCTCTGGGGACTGAATGCTCCCTAGACTTATTAGGTTTGATCTTGGGGGGTATGCTTCCTTTCCTTTCATAGTTCTCCCAGCCCAGTTTTGCACTTCTAAGAAACTTGGTTTTCCTTGAACTTGTTGATGCTTCCTTCTTGAGTGTTCATGTTGCCATGTTGGTTGTTTCAACAGCATCACTGTGGTTTGGGCTGTGAGATGAAAAAGTCTCATTCATTGAAAAATTGTGTCTTCAAGTTAACCATTGACTTATGACAACCTCATCGGTTTTGTAGTGTTTTTAGAGATGAGGAATACTCAGAGTTGCTTTGCCAGTTCTTTTCTTTGAAACACAGTTTGTCCTTAACCTGTCAAGTTCAGCTTTTGCAGATTTGATTCTTCACAGATTTGCTGAGTTCATTAATCCTTTCTCTATGGAAGTTTAGGTACTCCAGGGTGACTCTCTGTTCTGCCTTTGCTAGAATTTGCCCTGGATGATCTTGGATTTCCTAGAGAAATGTTCCCTCTAGAAAACTCTAGGTCCTCCAAGGCAACTTCATGGATAAGTTGAAGACAGAATCACCCGGGAAGACCTAGACTGGTGTTTCTCAACCTGGGGGTCAGGACCCTTGGGACTGTTAGCAAGACATGCCAGAGGGGTCACCAAAGACCATCAGAAAACACAGTATTTTCTGTTGGTCAATGGTGTTGTGTGTGGGAAGTTTGGCCCAATTCTATCGTTGGTGGGGTTCAAAATGCTCTTTGATTGTAGGTGAACTATATATCCCAGCAACTTCAACCCCAAATGTCAAGGTCTATTTTCCCCAAACTCCACCAGTGTTCACATTTGGGGATATTGAGGATTCATGCAAAGTTTGATTCAGATCCATCATTGTTTGAGTCCACAGTGTTCTCTGGATGTAGGTGAACTACAACTCCAGAACTCAAGGTCAATGCCCACCAAACCCTTCCAGTATTTTCTGTTGGTCATGGGAGTTCTGTGTGCCAAATTTGGTTCAGTCCCATCATTGGTGGAATTCAGAATGCTCTTTGATTGTAGGGGAACTATAAATCTCAGCAACTCCAAATAACAAAACAAATCCTCCCCCCCCCCCCCAACCTCACCAGTATTCAAATTCAGGTGTGTCGTGTATTTGTGCCAAATTTGGCCCAGTAGATGAAAATACATCCTGCATATCAGATATTTATAATAGGATTCATAACAGTAGCAAAATTACAGTCATGAAGTAGCAACAAAAATAATTTTATGGTTGGGAGTCACCGGAACTATATGAACATGCGGAACTATATGCAGAGATCATGGCATTAGGATGGTTGAGAAACACTGACCTAGACATTCTTACAGGGGATAATTCTCTTGGAATCTCACAGCATGATTCTGTGGCCAACTTTCTGCCAGTGTTAACCACAGAGTCGCTCTGGAGAATCTATATATTCCTATAGATGTATTTTCTCATGTAAGAAAATTTAGGGGTGGGAATGGAAGTTTTTCCACATTGTGCTCCAACTTTAACCAGTTCAGCTGTTTGACAATTACAGTAATGGATTTTGTTGTTGAAAATGTGAAAGGATTAGTGGTCAGATTCTTCTCTCTTTCACTGTGTACCTTTTCCAGTGTGTTGCTGTTATTATTAAAGGTCTCACTACAGAAATGTTATCATCCTCATCAAGGACATATAAGCAGTTCTTTCTTCTCTCCCTTTTATATATCAATAGATCAATGAGAAAGATTAGGCTGAGAGATTATGACTGGCACAAAGTCACTAAGAGGGGATTTGAACCCATGTGTCTCCAGTTGTGCCACATGGACTCTCTGCCAAACCAAAAGGGAGCTTATATTCGGTCAATAAGAAAGACTAGTTTTATGAATGGACATGCTGTGTAACTTTCCAGTTTCTCCTGACTTCCCATAATTGCAGTATGTAGTGGAACCAGTGTCATTGCTGTAACTTGCCATCTGGTATCCCATTACCATCTTTTTATTTTCTGTATTACTGCCTTGCTATTGCTTATTTTATCACAACCATTTTTTGACTAATTTCCTTTTTTAGTGTCCGACAGCTACCAAAGCAACCTTTGGAGTCCACGTTAAAGTCGTAGGAGACTGGACCGGTATGTGAAAAACACACTTCTTCTTATTGATTGCTAAGAAATATTAGGACGCCACCTGAAATTTTCTTACATTTTGCCAATATCGAAGCTGTCCTGTTCCTCCCCTTCTCAGTTTTTCGTCTGTTAAGACACTTGTGGTTTTATCTATAGTTTTTGTACTTTGGACAAAACTACTGGATTTTCTACTTTCAAAAATGAATGAATCTTCTTGTTTGGGTTGCTGTGAGTTTTCCAAGCTGTGTGGCCATGTTCCAGGAGCCTTCTCTCCTGATGTTTCACCCGCATCTATGGCAAGCAACCTCACAGGTTGTGAGGTTTGTTGGAAATTAGGCCAGTAGAAACTAGGCAAACTATCTACAGACCCACTAAGAAAATCTAATAAATGCTCCGTTCAGCAAAGGAGAAGAAGGATTCTCTCATCTCTGCAGGAGTCTACCGTATACCATACAGTTTTGGACAAGTCAACATAAATGCAGCATTGCCCAAACATGAATCAAGGAACATGAAAGGCACTGCAGATTAATTCAACAGAGAAGTCAGTCATAGCAGAGCACTTGATGAATCAACCAGGAAAAAGCATATTATTTGGGAACACAGAAATGCTGAACCACTCTAACAGCCACCATGTCAGGCCAGTGGTTCTCAACTTGGGGTCCCCAGATGTTTTTGGCCTTCAACTCCCAGAAATCATAACAGCTGGTAAACTGGCTGGGATTTCTAGGAGTTGTAGACCAAAACACCTGGGGACCCACAGGCTGAGAACCACTCGGCTATACAGAGAAGCCATTGAAATCCACAAGCATGTGGACAATTTCATCAGAAAGGAGGAAACCATGAAAATGAACAAAATCTGGCAACTGGGATTAAAAACTCTAAAATCAGGACAGTAAATAAAGAACAACACTCAAAAACAGGGGAATTCCAAACAAGAAACAATCAGTGCTAGCTAATCACTTCCCAACAAAGGATTTCCCCAACAGGAAGCAGCCAAGCTTTGAAGCTGCAAGACTGTTCAATGCTAACCAAGGTGATGAACTGGGACATTCAAACTTGTCTCAAGCAGAGAAGAGTTCTTTCTCCCACCCTGGGCATTCCACAGATATATAAACCCCATTTGCCTGGTTTCCAACAGACCTCATAACCTCTGAGGGTGCCTGCCACAGATTAGGAGAGAATGTTTCTAGAACGTGGCCATAAAGCCCAGTAAACTCACAGCAACCCCGTGATTCCGGCCATGAAAAGCTTCGACAACACGTTGAACAACACTGTTACCAGTTTCTCATGTGTCCAATGCAAGCTTAATCATTCAGCCCAACCCACCCTATTTTACAAAATGCTATATAATTGTAATGATTTGTTTAGGTTGAGCTCATAGATGGAAATGTTATATTTATTCTGGACAAATTGTTCTGATTCCCACGTGAATTATCAGCCTCTATCTTGACTTGGCTCTATTATTTTTAATGTCATTTAAAAATATCTGTGCAGGTCCATACTTGCCTTGAGGCCACATATGGTGGCTGCAGCCGAAATGCTGAAATGTGCAGTTGTTAGATAAGGGAATTTTAATACCAGGGGTTTGGTTGTCTTCCAGGTCAGTTAACACCTTATGTCATGCTGGGATTTTCAAGTCACTTTCATGTTCTGATGTGCTTCCTTTGGGCTGTGAGAATATCCTCACATCTCATTGGTGGGATCCTCTACGATCCTAAAGAGTTATTATTTTAATTTATTTGGCGTGAAGAGCATTGCAGAGAAATGGCTCAATTCAGGATCCCGACTGGGAGAAAGGGAGAAGAGGGAGACAGGAAAGCAGTGTTATTGCAATGCAATGCAAGCAAGATGAATGGCTTGTTAGGGTGGAATGCATGGTGAGACAGGAAGAGAAATGTTCAGAGAATTGAATGTTTATGTGTATATTTACTCTCCAAAGAAGCAAACAGAATAGCACATATGAAAAAACAAAGCAAATTAGACAAAAAGGATTCACGTGCTGATAGATGGTAATTTGCTTTCTTTTAAAAAGGCCAATGAATTTTGACCACAAACAGTCTTTTGTGCAGGCTATACTAAAAGCATAGATATTTACAGGGTAAGATATTTACAGGGATATATGTGTGTGTGTGTGTGTGTGTGTGTATATATGTGTGTGTGTGTGTGTGTGTGTGTGTATATATATATATATATATATATGTGTGTGTGTGTGTGTGTGTGTGTGTGTGTGTGTGTGTGTACAGGGTTGCCGTGAGTTTTCCAGGCTGTATGGCCATGTTACAGAATAATAATAATAATAATAATAATAATAATAATAATAATAATATAGCAATAACTTTATTTTTATGGCCTGCCTCCATCCTTCCAAAGGCGGCTTACATGGGGATGAGCCCGATCGAACATGGTTAAAATATAACATTTTAAAACATCTAGACATCAACATAAAACAAAAACTGAAAAGCAACATCATTATAACAAAATATAAAAACAAAACATCAAACTAATAACCAATGAGCTCTACAATAATAATCAGTTTCTGGGTGCGATGGAGCTTGGTATGAGGCTTGAATGAGAGAGGGTTGACTTTCAAATGCTTGTATGTGTCTCTTTAATATGTGTAACCCAATACCATAAACTGAATCCTGTTCCAAATGATCTTCAGTTGTCTTCCTTGAAGTAGTCCTTCACTTCAGTAACTTGACACACGTCTTTGTTGTAAGAAATTGAACAAAGAAATATTTATTTAAGTATTCTCAGGCACACAAAGCATATTGGTTACACAGTATTTTCTCCTCAGTACTTCTTAGATATGGTAACAGTTAACTTTTGTTATCATGAACACTTGAAACAGTTTCTATATAACTTCCAGAATGGATTATCTTTTTTTGCCAGCCTGGTTTAGTAACTCCCTTCACTTTAAAATGTTATTCTTTCTCAGTCTCCTGACTGGGTAATTTTAATCTTGTAGTTTCTTCACCTTAGCAATGGGTTAACTGTGAATTTATTTCTCAAAGAACACTTTTCTCCTCAGTGCCCCAGACTGACACTTAGACACAGTTTCTCCTTTTATTTACTTCAGCTCTGACAATGGACACAATACAATAATGGGAATTCCTTTCCCCTAGCTCACAAGTTAATTTCGAATTCAGAACTGGTTCATCAAACACTTGAAATATCAAGGCTGAAGACCTGCACTCTTTTGTCCAGCTCTAACATAGCCAGAACTGACCTTCCTTTAGCTCACCCAGCTAAAGACTGGCTAATATTTTAAAATGTCCACTCTTCTGTTAGCTCCGCCCCTTTCTCTCCATAGCTCTATTGAAATGGATACATTTCTACTGCAGGCTTCATCACTATGGCAACACATCAACTAAGCAACTGAAGCTAAGGTTGGCCTGGGTTTGCCATATACTAACATTAATAAACATACTCAAACCTATATTATAATTAGATATTTCATTACAAGGGCAATATAAGATAGAGCATTTTAACTTTAGGTACAGAACAACAGTAAAGTGTGAGGACAAGATTTTGGGTCCTAATTGGGGCGAAACTATCTGGGGGATTGTCTAGTCAAAAGCGCAGCGGAGTGGAACATCCACATCTTTAGATAGACAGGGTGGGTGCTAGTCTAATCTCCCTGGGGAGGGAATTCCAAAGAAGCATTCTCTCCTGATGTTTCATCCACATCTAAGACAGGCATCCTTAGAGGTTGTGATATCTGTTGGAAACTAGGCAAGTGAGGTTTATATATCTGTGGAACATCCAGGGTGGGAGAAAGAACACTTGTATGTTGGAGGCAAGTGTGAATGTTGCAATTGGCCACCTTGATTAGCTTTGAATGACCTTGCAGCTTGAAAGCCTGTCTGGTTGCTGAATGGGGGGTCCTTTGTTGGGAGGTGTCAGTTGGCTCTGATTGATTCTTGTCTGGCATTCCTGTTTTTTGAGTGTTGCTCTTTATTTATTACAAGCATGTGGACAATTTCAACAGAAAGTAGGAAACCATGTAAAAGAACATAATCAGGCTACCAGTATTTAAAAAAATCAGGACAGTAAATAAAGGGCAGCACTCAAAAAAACTGGGAAATTCCAGACAAGAAATGATCTAGGCCAGCCAACTCCTCCCAACAAAGATTCTCCCATCCAGGAAGTAGCCAGATTCTCCCATGCAGGAGATTCTCCCATGCAGTAAGTAAACAGAAAATATAAGAATGGAGATGGGGAGTCAGTTTTTTTCTCCATTACTAAGGTGCTTACATAGTTCTGATAGCTACGTGGGAAGGGAGGTGGCTCACCCTTGCACACTTTGTTTTCTTTGTATGTTTTTGTATTACACTAACCCTTGGGAGTTCATCTTCTATTGATTTTGCCCTGACCTGACCAGTGTGCAGCCCAGCCTGTGGGCAATTCATTAACTTTTTTTTTCTTTTGGTCGTGTCAGGAGTGACTTGAAAAATTGCATTAACTAACCATGAGGGATTGGATTGCCTGGCCAGAGATAAATTAGGCAGGGTCAAATTCTAATTTGGCTGTAAAGGGATGCTTGGAGCCCATCAGTGTAAGAACTGGAGTGTTTCTCTGCAGTAGACCATCTGCTGCATCATTTACCACCAATAAAGTTTATCTTATGGCAGTAGCATGTGTCAGGATTTGGCACCAAGCGAAGTCTTGGAGAGGCCTGTAACTACACCCAAAAAATGGAACAGAAGAGCTTGTAAAGAAAGGCACACAAGGATCATGTGTCTTCTCCTAAAAAGAAGAAAACATAGGCATTGGGTTGAATCCCAGTTGAGTTCACGGATGCTCATTGTCATCCCTGAAGTTGCCTACTATGGATTACAGTATGAGCATACACTTCATGGGTAAAAACTGAGACATGTGGTCAAGCAACATCAGGATGTGGTCAAGATGAGATATGTTATTAATAAGAAAGGACACTTACTTACTTACTTACTTACTTACTTACTTACTTACTTAGGCGATCCCTTGTTGCCCGATTGTCCTCC